AGGTAAATGTTCAACTCATATGCCTGTCTTTTGTTTGGCTGGAAACCACGGGTGTGGGTTCAATTCCAGACCTGAAGGGCAGCTAGGGGCCATAGTCTCAGCAGTTCCGCCAGGCTCTATTGGACCAGCAAACTTTGTCATCCCCCCCTTTTTCTTCTCCAAATGATTTTGAGATTTGTTCCACATTGTTCTCTCTCTCTATCAAGGATCTCCTAGATAGATCCCCTTTCCATTCACACTTCATTTTAAACTAGTGTTTACCCTCAAACGCTTCCCCGCCTCAGTCCCTGCAAGCATCAGGATTTCTCTGGATGTGTCAGCAAAGTTTCTTGAACAGTCTGCATCTCCTTGAACCCCATTTCAGAAGGCTGTCATTTTCCCATTTACATCTGCATGGGAGAGCTGGATGATGAATAAAGAAGACTGAAGAAGAGGTGATGCTTTTGAGTTGTGGTGCTGGCGAAGAATGCTGAAGGTACCATGGACTGCTAAAAGAATTAACAGATCTGTCCTGGAGGAAGTGCAGCTGAGATGCTCCTTGGAAGTGAGAATGGCCAGACTTCATCTCACCTACTTTGGTCATGTTCTCAGAAGGGACCGTTCACTGGAGAAGGATGTCATGCTTGGCAAAGTGGAGGGTCGATGAAAGAGGGGAAGGTCCCCAACAAGATGGACTGACATGGTGGCTACAGCGATGGGCTCAGTAAAGCAAGGACTGTGGGGCTGGTGCAGGACTGGGCAGTGTTTTGTTCTGTGCACAGGGTTATCATGAGTCAGAGCCGACTGGACGGCACCTAACAACAATGACATTTACAAATAACTCAGAAGCGACTGCCTTCAGGCACCCTGCTTTTGTCTTTACTTATGGTTTTCTTGGAATTGATTCTTAAAAGCAGAATTTTATTCCCAAACTACTCACAGCCACTGATTCTTACTACCAGTTCTCACCTCGAGGACTCTGCCAACTCACACCCTCCCAATGCCACCGGTCTAGCGTGAATTTGAAGCACTTTACATTTTAAGTGTGTGCTGTCTAAACAAGAGCTACTCAAAAGCCCTCAGGAGCTCCCAGGAGAAAGGGGGGTGCTGGTCCCTCGCTGTGGCTTTCATGTGCTGGTGACAATCAGTTCCTGGCAAGTGCAAGCCGTGCTGTGAACAAGCTTACGGTGACTCTTCTTCGGGATGACAGAATGGGCTTGGGACCCCGAGGGACCATCTCAGCTGTGTAGCCTTCCATACCAGCCCCTTCCCAAAGCCCTGACTCCTCATTTGCACAGTGTGAAGTCCCTGCCTTCCTTTCCCGGGAGTCCCGGGCAGGGCAGCCGCGTGTTTGGTGGACAGGGGCACAGGGCGCGTGTGCGCAGGACACGGGTGGGTGCAGCCCCAGCTCCCTCATGCTACAGGCAGAGCCACCTGTGACTGCAGGCGCCGGGTTCACGTGTTTGCAGGAGCGGCCCCTCCACCCTCAGGGAAAGGAGTCGGCCGAAGCCCTGCCCTCCCAGGACGCTGCACGGATCCCTCCCTGGGGCCACCGGCCACACGCTCTCCAACGGGAGTGTGGGGCGACACCCCGAGACCCACCTGTACTGCTTGGGGCTCCCAGGTGGGGCAGAGAGTACTACTCACAAGGCCGTGGTCCACGCGGAAGAACGCCATCTGACAGGGCTTGTTCAGGAGGTTAGAGAAGGCAATGAAGGCGTCTGCGGTGTCCAAGTTCAAGATCAGCACTGCAGCGATAAAGGACATGCCCTGCACCTGGGAGAGGAGGAGGGCAGGCAGTGGGGCTGGGCTGCCTCCCGTTTCAAATGGGGAGGGGAGGGGCTCCAACACGGTTCCACTCGACGGCCCCCCACAAAGTGACTGCTGCCTCCGCCAAAACCTACAAAACCAAACTCACTGCCGTTGAGTCGGCCCCGACTCATAGCGACCCCTCCTTGGGTTTCCGAGGCGGTATCACTACGGAAGTAGGATTGCCCCATCTTCCTTCCGAGGAGTGGCTGGTGGGTTTGAACCACCAGCCTTCTGGTTAGCAGTCAGATGCCTTAGGCACTAGGCCACCAGAGACCAACTGCAGCAGGGTCCCAGCTCACTCCCCCTTGCTCTGCCCCTTCCCAACCGCCTGCCCCCAGCAGTCGCAGCTTCCCGTCTCAGCGGAAACCCTGACCAGTGCCTTCTCTCTGTGTGGGGACCCATCTGCACCTGTGTACAGCTTCTGGGTGCCCTGGATGGGAGTCCACATGGGGTGCTACACCTAAAACCACACAGGTACCTGCTCGACCACGCACATGCACACGCACACACACCCAGGCTCAGCCCAGCACGGTTTTTCTGCTGCAGGCTGTGATGCCCGCTGCATAAACACACACACGCAGCAAGTGACAATCACTCGCCGTTACAACGCGGCCCCATCTGCGGAGCCGCTGGTCAGCTCGCCCACAAGACCTAGCTCTTCTAGGAAATGACAGCACTGGGTGTGCTGCACAGGGTTTGGCCTGTTCTTTGGTGACAGTGTTAGAAGGAAAACCTTTACTTACATAGCCCACATCCGGCCGATAACAGGTATAGGCGCCCAGAACACTGTGCAACGTGTCGTGATACGGGCCACCCTGGAAGGACCAACACCAGAGACAACATGTGTGAGTACCGTCAGTGCCCACAAGCAGGGGATGCTGCTGCTAGTACCCCCGGACGACCAGTACCGCCTGCCACCACCCACTGCCAGTACCCAGCCCTTGGGTCCAGCCTCCACGGGGAGCTCCCTGCCCCACCTGCCAGCAGCCACACTGGAATTTAATCAACTATCCAGTCCAGCCTGGGAGCTCTGGTAGCATAGTGGCTAAGGCACTTGACTGCTAACCAGAAGGCTGGCGGTTCAAACCCACCAGCCACTCCTCGGAAGGAAGGTTGGGTAATCCTACTTCCATAGTGATACTGCCTCAGAAACCCAAGGAGGGGTCGCTATGTGTCAGGGCTGATTCGACGGCACATAACAACAACAACAACAACATCCAGTCCAGCCTCGAGGCTGCCCTGAGGAAAGCAGGCAGGTTTGGTATGGGCCGAGACTGGCTCCTGCTGTAGGCTGTGTCCCGTTCCAGGAAGCTCTAGAGAGACGCCAGCAAATGTCTCAACTGCCGCCCAGCTGGCCCGACTCGTCGGCCTCTCCTGCCTGTCCTGTCCTTTCTGCGCTCTGCTGTCTGAGACAACACACCACCCGCCTTAGGTCCTGCTGCTGCCACGTTACCCAAACAGGCCCACTGCTCCCGCAACCACCTCTAGAAACCAAGGGCGGGCTCTTCCAGAGAAAGCCCAGGGAGGAAGCCGACATGGCCTCACACGTGCGTTTGGGCGGCTTGGCGTCCCTGCGCCCACTGCACGTGAGGAGTAAGGCCACATGCTGTGTGTGGCTAAGGAGCCGCTCCACGGCCCTGACCCGCACGTCCTGCCCTCCACAGGGTTAGGGAACAGAGAGATTTGAGGGTCAGAGAAAGCAGACTGGAAAAGCAGCAATGAGGGGCAGGAGGGGAGAGGGGGCACCAGGGCTGTCCCGGCGAGGTGAGGGCGACGAGAGCACATACCACACCTTCTGAACACACGTGATTTCAGGTCTCCAACCCCCACAACGTGTGATGGGGCGCTTCTCGCTCGGGTGGCAGACGCCCGGCCCTGAGGTAAGGCGTGGCGGCCCTCCTCCCCCAGATCCTGGTTCGTAAGGGTCACCCACTTGAGACCTTCAGGAACCACAGGCCGACGGAGACCCGTCCAGAGCGGCCCAGCCCCTGCATCTGCTCCCCGCCCCACCCCGGCGGGGCCCCTAAAGCCCTCTGCCTCCCCTGCGAGCAGACCTTCTGCACCAAGGAACCAAGGTGCCCCAGCTATTCTCCCACCCATGGTCCTGAACGGTCCTAGAAGTGTTCCAGGAAAGCCGGGTCCAGGTGTGTGTGGGGAGGGGCTGCAGGCAGGGGAAGGGAAGGTCTCAGGTGCTGGGGGGGGGGCCCAAGTCAGGAGGGTCCCGGCAGCGGGAGGACCCCAGGCTTCTCTGGCTATCAGGCTCGGTAGCTCCTGAGGGCAGATCCTGTGGTACCCGACCCCCCAGCACAAGCTCCATGGCAGCCTCAGCTCTAGTCGCTCCCTTCCTCAGGGCAGTCCTTCTAGAATCTTCTCTCCCTTTTCCACACCTTCAATCTGAGCTGTTAGGAAGAAATGCACCCTACTTTCTATCAGGGCTGACATATCCCCTACATCGGATTCAGAAAAGGAATAGGCGCCTGACTGGACTTGCCGGCCACTCTGCCCACGGCCCTTGCTGCTGCCGCCTGGCCGCAGCGGACCTTCCGCCCGGGGCTGGACTTGGTCCTCCGGGTCTCAGTTCTGCACAGAGCTGCTGGATAGTAACAAAGGTTTGTGGGAGGCCCTGTGTCAGGACCGTCCACAGCCCTGTGGGCTGGGTCTCCACCCTCATCGCTGACGGTTCCAGGGAGAGGAGGGTCCCCAGAGGAGGGGGCGGAAGGGGGTAGGTGGGGAGGGTTCCAGCGGGGGAGGAGTGTCCGGGCTGATCAAACTCTAACTCGCTGCCATGGAGTTGGATCCGACTCATAGTGACCCCTCATTGGGTTTCCAAGGTGGTACCTCTATGGAAGTAGATTGCCCAACCTTCCTTCCAAGAAGTGGCTGGTGGGTTTGAACCGCCAGCTTCCTGGTTATCAGTCAAATGCCTTAGGCACTCCACCACCAGAGCTCCAGGATGGGAGCTGTCCTCCATGTCAGGCTTTATAACCCAGGACAGCCACCTGGGTCACTATGCAGATTCCTCCCTGGTTCTGTCACAAGGATCCCTAGAGACCCGATGGGGACACTGCCACTGGGGAAGCACCAGAGCAAGGCCCCCCCAGCGGGGTGGCGCAGCAGGGCCCGGCCCCTCCCGGGAGCACGGAGCCTGGGGGAGGGCAGAGGGGCCCCAAGCCCTCCAGGTGGGTTTATTCTGCAGCAGGGCAGGTTCCCAATCTCGGGGCTGCAGCCTCTCCTTGGACCCCTCTCCTGTGGGGCCCGAGGTGGTCCCTCCCCCGCTGCCTGGCCCTGTCCTGGCTCCCTGGCCCCTCCTCACTGACAGTCCCCGAGTTCTTCCTCAGGGACTGAGGACACCCCGCCACCAGAAGCCAGCTCTCAGGAGGGTGAGAGCTTGTTAGCAAGAGGCCCCCAGAGGTGAGCTGACCCTCTGCTCGCTCCCAGAGCTGCCTTTAGAAGAAAGGGGGACGCAGCCCGGGAGGCGTGTGTCCAGAGGACTGGGCACCCACACTAAACGGCCTAAATGCAGCAGCCAGCCAGAGACCAAAGGGCAGCACTGGTGCAGGGAGAAGCTCCAAGGCCAGGAAGGGACAGGAAAGAAGGCTGAAGGGAAGGTGGGTGCACTGGGAGGAAGCAGGAAGAGCTGTCACGGTGCAGAGACTGCAACCCATGTCACCCAACAAAACGTGTATGAACCGCTGGGTGAAAACGAATGTGCTCTGTAAACCGTCACCCAGATCACAAGAAAGAGGAAAAAGTCTAAACACATCAACAAGACTGACTGTACCCCACCCCCCGTAAAAACACGAGCCCTTTAAACTCGCTGGCACACTCAGGCAGCTGGGCGCACACGCTCTCAACAGCAGCGGCCCCACCCACCTGCTGGAAGATGCAGAGGCTGGGGAAAGTCCTGGAGATGTCCAGCTTAATGAGCTCCAGGCTGGCTTCTCTGTCAGCGGCTGGGAGGCCCGCATCTGCAGAGAGAGCACAGTCACGCTGCCGCTCGGGCGGGGCGGGCTGGGGGCCTGTGGGTCGGGCAGCAGCCGGCGCCAGGCCCCGGCGAGGTGCTCCAGCTGCACCCAGTGCGCCACCAGCACTGTCGGGATGGCTGAGATCAAACCCACTTGACTTTACCCGTCAACACGGCGGTCAGGGAATGTGGAAGCCCGCAGGCTGGTACGCACAGACCGACGCCAGGCCCGGAGAAGCAGCGGCCGTTATCCGACCTGAGTCACTGGTAAAATGCAGACTGAAAGGGAGCTG